GAGAGAGAGAGAGAGAGAGAGAGAGAGAGAGAGAGAGAGAGAGAGAGAGAGAGAGATGTAAAATATATTTATTTATATAAAACTACAAGTTCATGTCGGCATCTCTGACTTCGACAGCTGCTGTGCAATTCCTTGACACCCTTGTTGCTTTATTAGACTTGCCGACTGGCCTATTTCCATTATTTTTTAAAAAAAGTAATCGCAGACCCCCTATCGCTTAATGTTTCAGGATCCTTTTGATGCTGCAGGATATTACAACCTGGCGCTGGCTGCTGCCATGGACTTGGGGAACAAGAAAGCACAACTGAAGATTTACACCAGACTTGCCATAATTTACCACAATTTCCTTGTCGACCGAGAGATGTCTCTCTTCTTCTACCAGAAAGCCAGAGTCTTTGCCACGGAGCTGAATATTTGCAGAATCAACCTCTCTCCAGACCAGCCTCCTGGGAGAAAGTTCCCATGAGCCTCTCCTCTGGACACTGGCTGGAGGGCTTGCAAAGGACAGAGCAGCCCCCCTTTTTTTTCTGGCACCCGAGAACAAGAGCTTCCGTTTCTGAAGCACTCGGTATCTCCTCCTCCTTCCCACCCATTTCCCCCAAAATAAGGACAAAGTCAAGAAAGGGCATCAGAGATGATCCTGGAAGGAGCTGGCTATGAAACCACAGAACAGTTGAAGTCAGCAAACGGTGATCGAGCTCAAATGAAAGTATTTAACTGAAAATAAACATGCTAAAATAATACATATTCAAAGTTAACATTTTCTCATGCTCCAATTTTAACGTAGTTCCAGGTTTGTTTGGGAAACGGTGCTTAGAGTATGAATGTTTCCTGAGGCAGCAACCGATGGATCTCCATGTGAAGGAGTAAAGTAATAAATGTTCAGTGGGCACCCAGTTACAATCTGAGGATTTTACTAGCACCCCCCCCCCAAAGAGTGGTCTCATCGAGATCTGTTCCACACCCTTTTCAGCCTCCGGTGTCCATGAAGGACTGCAGGGTGGCTGTGGTCTTCACGAGATGCTCTGAAGGACCAAGAGTTGGGCCTCGGCCTAATCTTCATGGTGGGAGTGAATGAAGAATTCAAACATGTCTGAGCCATTCAAGAGAACTTGACAAGGCAGCAGAACGAGGAGGTTGGGTGCCTTCCAGCGCATTCCCTCTATAGCAACTGTCACTGTCTGTTTCAGGAGTATCCTTAGACGCTCTTCCCTGTAACTGAGCCAGTTGCAACAGATTCCTTCTGTTGTAGCAGAACGTGGATGTTCTTATCGCGGAATGAATCCGACAGGAATTTCCTCAAAGCAAAAGCGAGAAGGACCTGGAGGTCAATGAAACACTGGACGTCCAGTTCTTTGCATGCAAGGTGGCCTCTTTCTCCCTCAAATCAACACACAGCACAGAGTGACCAGTCGTTGGAGAGTGGTTGGGGGCTCTCCTAGAACTCCACCTCACCACGAATATTTTCACCTTCTCGTTGCAGATGCCTTTTCCTTTTAGGCCTCACTGTGGGTGTTTATGTGGCCAGTCTATTTTCTCTTGGTCTATTTTCAAATTCAGCCGAGATGAATTGAATGGACAAACTGAACAAACATCGTTAATATATTTTTATTACTATACAGACATACACGGCTACGGAAAACTACGTCCACCAGACCCAGATTGCAAGATTTACCCGGTAGGTAGTGGGAGCCGGAATCGAAAGGATGCAGCCACCGGTCCATACGAGATCCCAGCTGAGATTTCCTCAGCCGCTTCACCTTTCCAGGATTGGATTCCAACCCTGAGATCCGATCATGCTTGAGAACAGAAATGCCCCCCCCCCCCCTTTCCTGATTCAAAGGAGAGTCTGGATTGAGGCCACTTCCAGGTCTGGATCCCAGCTAGGCAGAACCAGGCCTCAAAGGCAGACTGGCTAAAAAAAGGGGAGTGACACTGGAAGAGGGAGGGTGGGGGACATGCCAAGTCCATTGCCAGAGTCTCATGGTCCCCTTCCTCTCTCTCGCCCTCTCTCTCTCTCTGGAGACAGGCTGCCCTTCCCTAGCAGAGCCCTCCAGGCACCCGGCAGCTGGAAGGCCAGAGAGGCACTCAGAGCTTTCTCTCCAGCGTTGGTCATCCTAAAACCTTAAAAATAAAAACACGGGGGGAATGGAAAGAAAAAAGCCTCCCAGAAGGACGTCTCGGAGGAACTGACAGACGGGCCTTCCCTGTTTGCTGCAGGACTGGGCCGCTGCGTGTTTTGCTTTCTGGGATGAGACGGATGTCGGATGCAAAACAACAGCAACTTAATTCAAACTTAAAACCTTGAAGAATAAGATGATATTAATCACATGGACCAAACGCAAATACTTAAAGGGACATCTACACAAAAAGCTGCTGGTTTTCAGCATGGTCATTAACTTATGGACAGAAAGCTATTTTAATGGTTGATTATTGTCCGAGAAGCAACTGGACGTTAAATATTCAGGAAGGCTGAACCGGCAGAGAAGGAATATTCCATCATTCTGAGGGGAGACAAGAAGCCAGCCGAGGGGAGGCCCTGCGGTGCTCGGCCCTTTCTCCTAAGCTCTGTGCCTTCTTTCATTTCCTTTCACATGATCCTCCTTTCCCTCTCCCTGTTGTGACCGAAGGCTCACTAGCAGCTCTCGGGGGGCTTTTCTTCTCTACATTCTGGACCTCAACTTGCCCACCACAGGTTTGTTGTTACAAAATTCCGACCACCAGGAGGCTCTTTCCAGGCTCTTGGGGCTCTGAAGGACGGCAGCCCACAGGTTCTTATACAGCTGGAGAAACAAAGGAAGAAGGGAGGTTTCGGTCAAAACAGGAGCCGGCTTTGAAGGAAGGAAAAGGAAACTGGGATCAGAGATTGGGATTCAATTCAGAAAGCAAGAAGACGGAGCCCGCTTACCTCTCCATCGGCCTTGGCAATTGGGGAATTGAGGACAAAGTCAGGGGGGGCAATGACATCCACCAGAGTCACTGCTTCGTTCTTCAGCTAGGGGAGAGAGAGGGGGGGGGGTGTTGTTGAGAAAAGGAAGAGGAGAGGACCTGGCCATCGCGTTGAGTCCAGTAACAACTGTAGAAGACCAGCATAGTTGACCAGGCAAAGACCTACCGTGTTTCCCTGAAAATAAGACAGGCTCTTATTTTCTTTTGACCCCCAAAATATGGCCTTGGCCTAATAATCGGGGGTGGGGGGGGTTATTGCTTATTGTTTTGGGATTGCCGGGCGGCTGCTCTCTTGCGAGTGGCCCCCCGAAGAGCCTGGTGTGGGGACGGAGGGACGTGGGCACAATCTCAGGGGTGAACAGCTGTGTTACGCCGTCCCAGCAGTGCAACACAGCAGCTGCCCGGCAAACCGCCTCTCCAGCAGGGCCCCTGAGGCTGTGCCGCGTCCTCCCATCCCCATGCCAGGCTCTTCCGGAGGCCGCTCGCAAGAGAGCAGCTGCCCGGCAACCCCCCTCTCCAGCCAGGCAGAGCACCACTCACCCACCTAGCGGTATCCCGAAGGTGCCAAGCCGTGCGAGCGCCAATCCCCCCTCAGCTCTCATGGCTTGGTGTCTTCAGGATACAGCTCGGTTGGTGAGTGGCGCTCTGCCTGGCTGGAGGGGGGGGGGTTGTCCAGGGGGCTTATTTTCTGGGGAGGACTTATTTTTGCCCACCCCAAAAATCTGCTATGGCCTTATTTTCAGGACATGCCATATTTTCGGGGAAACGCAATATCTAGACTCAGTTTTTAAGCTGTGTCCATATTTGCTTCGTTTCAGAGAGCTTGGTGAGAACACTTTCATGGATAACACCAGGGTAATAACACCGAACAGGGATTGCAAAGGGCTCCAAAGGCTCCCTTTAGAGGGGGGGGGGACACACCAAGGAAGCTGAAATTGGAAAATGCAGCCCTGGGGAGGCAGATGGGAAGTGACCCCTCTTGTTTCTCTCAATCCCAATTTCCCCCTTGCTACGGGGGCCTGAACTGGCTGTGGCTTGCTGGGAAGGTCACAAAGGGTCACAAAGGGTCTGGAAAGTGAAGATGCACTGATGCTAAATGTGGGGAGGGGATTCAAGAAGGGAAGAGCTTTTCCTGTAGATCAGGAGTCCCCAAACGTGGCAACTTTAAGACTTGTGGACTTCAACTCCCAGAATTCACCAGCCAGCTGGCTGGAGAATTCTGGGAGTTGAAGTCCACAAGTCTTAAAGTTGCCAAGTTTGAAGACCTTTCCTGTAGATGGTGAACCTAACCCCTTGCACTTAAATATCCACTGAAATCTGATGGGATCGACAAACTTTCAAGATCTACTGAAACATACCTTAGAACAAAGTTCCAGAATTGAATCCTGTATCAATTTACCGGCATTTTCACCTGAAAAGTAGCCACCTGAAACGTATTTAGAGCAATAAAACATTCAGAATGGAACAGTTCATTCACACTCTAAGTTCCTGTTGGGGTACACGATACGCAGAAATAATTCCCAAAATAAACCGAAGGTGCTGTACTGAGGATTAGCGCTCTGGTGCTGTGTATTCAAGACCTTCCTGACTACAAGATATGGAAATGGCACGACTGGGAAAGGTTCCCACATCTCACAAGGAAGGAAGGGAGGGAGGGAGGGAGGGAGGGAGGGAG